CCATATACCTTGGGAGGATGACTCCATAACGATAGCGCCAAAACATCTCGAGACACCTCTCAGATTGCTTGGGCAGTTATTGGTTAATTCGTCCTCATTGTCAACAAAGACAACCTCAAAGTCGACTTCAGCAGATTTCGCAGCATCTTCGAACTTGGATTTCACGGAGCTGAATACGCGGTTGACGTCTGTATCGTTGTTGCCATTGTTGACGAGCACTAATTTCTCACGACCGTTGTTGGTTGCCTTTGTAATGGCCTCGTCGAGAGGCATCAAGGGAGCGACATTGCCAATTCCGAACTTAGCGGGAGGGACAAGGAGGTTTTTGGTAAAACTAAACAAGGCAGCGAGAAAGATTGGCAAGATGAAGGCCATCCAAATACATAGTGCCAGGTGACGGAAGAGAAGAATACGGAAGTTCTTCCCCATGAGGGTGCCGACCTGTTTGATGAAGGCCATGATGATTCAATGCAGAGTGGCAGGGGCCACAAGTGCACGAAGGAGGGGTATCGATTAATAGAGATATTGTACGTAGAATAACATGTAAGATGCTTGTTTGTAAGAAAGAAGTTTAAAGGATGCTGGAGTCGGCGAAGTAATGGTTGGAGTGGCTCGGTTGCGTCGTGGGCCCACAGGGAGTACCTGGTTAGTGGAAGGAACAGTGGAGTTGAAGTTTTAGGCTTTGTTTTGACAAGTACAACCGGGACTTTTAGAAGGGAAGTTAGTCTCATTTAAACCGATGAGTATTCACTCTGTCAAGTCCAAAAGTCGTAATGGTCTACGCGTGCTTATTTTATTATGCCTGGTCAACTTGATTATTGTCCATCTGCGCTACTAACTAAGGAATTCTGCCTTCCCCTTGATCGAATTTGGTGCATTAGGCGATGCGTTAGGGGGAGCGAGGCGTTGAGACATCCAAACAACCCCTGCTGGGCTTCGATCTAAAGCTTGTGGCGGGATCTTAATTGCAACGACACGTCTAATTAACCTATCATGTAACTGCTGGATTGAGTTTGGGGAATACGGATTACGACAATTGCAACAAGACCGAATGCGATAAAAACATGGTCCCATATCTCACCCCTTGGGCTCTGTAGTTGAAGTTGAAGTTGAAGCGGAGTACGGGGTTTATTTGCCCACCCTGGGTCTCCCTCGGCTGTGTCGTACATACGGGACCCGCATATAAGTTTAGAGCCGCCTCCTGTTCAAAATCTATGATTCTTCCTTTTTTAATACGCATAGGTACGGAGCAATGCCCGAGAATGTCATTCCCGTAGAAAGCACTAAACCAGCATTTTACCATCCAATAAGCATTTGATCGCATGACAGAACTAACCACAGCCAAATGAAACGAATTCGATGTCGGGAATTCGGGCTAAAAATCATGCCGATGACAGCGTCAGCCCAGCGCGCCAACCCTTGTAGCGTCGCGTCCACCCTTGGCGGTTTTACGGCTTTGGAATTGGTGAATAATGTGTACCTATTTGACCTTGGCGTTGCCAAGCTGTCGGTAAGATAACCTCAAGATTAGCACAGCCTCAATACACATTGCGCGTTGCGTCAAATTACAACATCGCCCGGTCCATATACAATTTTGTGTATCACGTTGTGTTGAGAGAAGTCGTGCAAAGTTCCGTAACTACCTACGGTACCGGTCCTTAAACTTATTACCGCTGCCGATTCCCGTAAACTAAGTGGGGAACCGTTCTTCGTATTAGTCGCAATACCAAACCACAAGACAGAGGTAGTAGAGTAACTAGGCGGGCATACCAAACATTTCATTTGACTTTTCGATTGACAATCTAGTTGTTTGCACCCTCTATGGAGCTGTCGTTCGTATGCTTGTTCCGTGACTTTCTTTGTCGTTGCTCCTAACAACGTCGCGCCTAGCCATGAGCCAGAGAGTATCGAATAGAGTAAACTCATAAAGGTCCGGGCAAACAAATCGAGAACATAGTACTGCAATATGTTGTTCCCAAAGACTGTGAGATCAACCACAATGCTAGATACAAGTGATATCTTTGTTCAACGTTGAGCAAATTGGGGGCCAGTGAACAACGTCTCAACCTTTGTCTGGTCAATTCTCTTGTTCACCCAGTCTTCACTCACAAATATCTTGTCCAAAATGCAGAAACAAAGACCCTGCGGAACACCATTCAGATGCGATTCTGTTCAACGAATTTGTATCAAGTATATATCCTACTCACAGTCATGCTCCCAGAAATGCAGTCTGAGACTTGGTCCAAATTTTCGACATTACTGACACAACTAAATCATCAACGAAAGCTAAGTTATCAACCAAGTATCACAACAACAAAACAACAACGCAAAAGACCGCCATCATGTGCTATCGAGTAGTTACTCACACAATGCGCTGCGACATGCGCCCCGTCATCTCCAGCGGAGCCACAATCTACACTGATCCCTTTGCAGAGACCATGTCATGCACCTGCATCAACGAGCATCTTGCTCGTCCTTGGCTTCAGTGTGATGACCATGGCTGCTGTATGAAGACTGCCAAAATGAAGTGGTGTCCCGATGTCCACACATGCAACCATGTCACCGAGCTCCACCGATATAACCAGGCCCGTCCTCGATCGCGAAACATCTGGAAGACTACCACCAGTTCTATCTGGAGCCTTCCCACTCCTCTGGAGGAACCTAAGAGCTGGATTGGGGTTGTAGATTTAATTGACGCTCTCTTCCCAAAGGGTGTGCCACACATGGAAACAATTTCACCGCACCTCGACGAAGCTGTCAACAATCTCCTACATGTAGGTCGTCTCATTGTCACCCTAGAGGCTCAACTGGCCAACCTCCTTGACGATATTCATTTTCGTAGGGAGGCTCACAATGCTTTTCACGGCTTACAGTGTGAGCGTGTGCTGAACGAGTGGGAATGTAAGGCTAGAGGCCCCATCGAAGCTGGTGAGGCGATGGCTACACAAATGAGGAAAACACTTGCGACGCAACGACGGTTGTTTGAAGCAAGTTGGTCGTTTATCGACGTAATTCTCAGAGACCACGAAGAAAAACCAACCTCAGTGGAAGGCTTTGCAGTCAAGAAACCGGAGGTAGTCTGGGATGATGCTACAAACAGAGGTTCTTGGCCTGGACCATGGATATGATCCATGCATTCGAGATTGGAGTATATTAGGGAGTTAAGTGCTGCGGGTTAGCATTTCAAAACATTGCTTTTTTTCTTTTTAATAGAATGGACACTATAGATTGGGAGCTTTTATGGGGAAAAGGAAGATTAGAATTCATAATCAATAACAAATTAACATATCAAACCAATTGTGTCTTCTGCAAGTGTGAAAAAGAGAAAAAGTCCAAGTGCTTCACTGCAGGGTAGTGGGGCTGGCACGTCTTGGGGTATATGAGTTGTAATAAATCCGCTGTCAATCACCATTAATAAGCCGTCATCGTATAGGGGTCAGTACACCAGTTTGTGGTTCTACGAAGCACTGGAAACGCAAGTTCGAGTCTTGCTGACGGCAAAACTTTAACTTTTGGGGTTTAATTTGAATTATATCTTTTTGAAGAAGCTGAAATATGCACTCATAATTTTGGTATTTTTCTGTTGTGTTGTGGAAAGGTGGTGTGTTGCGAACGCCTGGACATCCCTTCAATGTAGATCTCACCTCTACGAACACAGACTTTCATGCAGCTGATTTAAGACATCGATGTATCCTCGGAGTGAATACTGTGTAGACCCAGATAACTGCCAGGATGGTCACACGAAGATAGACTCCATATCACCCTGAGGTCTTAGGAGCCATTGCCCTATGGGGGTGCATCGAGACCTGTTCTGTTGGTGGTCTGTAAATCTGGCTATCGTCGTCTATTATCGAATTTTTGTCTGTGGCCGCCGACGTAGTTCAAGGGATGCTACCTGGTATACACAGTACGCCATCCGCCCTCACGCTTGTTAAATTAGAAACTCCCAGGTTCTTTCCCGGATTATCTTTCATCATTAGCCACTATTACCAAAACCTGTGATCTCTGGTTCGCTGCTGGTCCTGCTTGATAGCGCCCTGAAGCCACAAGGCAGGGCGAAGAGACCCATCCCATGAACAGCCAGATGTTGTTTTCTCTGGCGTACGGTCTTACAATTCCCATGTCTTTTCCTGCTCAAAGAGCTGGGTGCACGTTTCTTTGTCACTGATTGCCTAGTAATACATAGCAGGCCTCATGAATTGCCCGTGCTAAATTACAGAGATGATTAGTATCGGGTATACCATCCGTCGTCGTCTGATCTTCTGGTAGAAGTCCGTTGTATCATTACTCACTATCTCGTATTTAGTATACGTCAGATACTGTTTGCGGATGCTATCACAGCCAAAACGGAGTTAATAAATTATCAACGTTATGGTCTCTGATTAAGAGACACTGTGCATAAACTGGATTGACGTAAACAGCGGAAGAATCCTCTCACTCAAGTTTGCTAGCAAAAGAAGCAATCATCAAGTCCATAGTGACAGAAGTGAATATATAATGATGTGGGACTGCTTCGACTAGACGTCTACGAAGAGCATGTTGATGTTTCTATTCCAAAAATAGGAACAGCCAAGGAAGATGGGAACCTCTTACATACGATATGAATCGTTGCCAATGCCGCCGTTTCATTATTTCCTTGCATTTATTCCGTAGGTAATTTTGGCTGAAGGGGCTATTCTCAGTTGATGGAACAGTAAAGTCAATGTCAAGCGAGATGCAACTGAGTTTGTATCCGTATCTACAAGTCAATTGTCACTGTCGATTCATTCCTATAGACAAAATGCTTTGTTTGATCTTATGGCAACCAACAAAGAACAAAGAGCCAATAGAATAACATATAGGCACCATCATCATCCAAATCCAGGTGTCCTGCCTACCCCACCACACGTCAACTTTTTCATGGAGGGGTCCTGTCTGTCAGCACTCAAAATCGCCAACCAAAATCAACCCTCCAAACTCATCTACTGCTCCCAGCAAAAATAACAAAAGAGAAAGTCATTTGCCGTCAGCAAGACTCGAACTTGCGTTTCCAGTGATTCGAATGAAACCACAAACTGGTGTACTGACCCCTATACGATGACGGCTTTTATTGTTGACATGGGTCGAGCAAAATTCTGTATATGAGGGTCTAGGCAGTACCCACTCCATTTGGGAAGAACTTCATGTGAACTTTCAAGATTCATGAAAGAAACATATTAACGCAGTTGAATCCACAATCATGGAGAGGAATTGACTTTAACTGCTAGAGCTTCATTAACCGTTAAAATGGAGTGCATAACCGTCTTCAACCTTCCAGTTATCCGGTTCTTCATTTAGTCAGCTCACGGAGAAAAGGAAGCTACACCTTGCGTGAGCAAATTTACGGTTCACATCTTCACAACAAACATCACCCACACAAATTTCTCTCTAACAAGTTGTTCTTTATATTATTAATGTCTCATCAATTTCTTCATAAAAAACATAAGAAATTTCCAAATGATAGCAGCAATGGTATCCTGCAGCTCCTATCCAAAAAGTATACCCAGTCACAATGTCCCGCCAAATAACGCCTTGATGTCGAATCTATCCGTCCGACCGATTATTCTTTCTTATTAATTTACTCGCTTATTTGGTGATGAAGCCAAGGTAATCAGCAACGATCAGTGTCACCATACTGCAAGTCAAGTTAGCGAACTGTTCATCGATATTCGGAACCAACGGGGACACTTACGCGTGAGGAGCGATGCGGACGTAGTATGTGCCGAAACCACGGTAGAAGCGACCAAGACCTTCCTGCTTGGCAACCTTGGAGAAGCAATCGATCATGCTTCGGTAGGGGAGCTTTCCGTCGGGACCCTTGGACTGCTTTTGCAGACGTGTCTTGACAAAGTCAAAGGGCAGTGAGAAGAATGAAGCGAAGAAACCGGCAACGGCACTGGCAGTGAGAGTCTGAGTTCGAGCAGAGAGATCGGTGTTCTTCTTGAGTTGGACCTTGGCCTCACTGAAGAAGGCAAGCTGACCAAAGTTGAGAGCCATGGCGCGGGCCACTGTGGGAGCAGCACCGGCCCAAAGAGCACCCACACCTTCGCTCTTTGCGATGCTGCTGAGAGCATCAATGACGGACTTGTAGTTCTTTCGCTCGGCGAGGGGCTTGAGGCCGTCGCTCTGCATTCGAATGAGGGCGAGATCAGCAGGGTTACCGATCATGGCAGCAATACCACCAGCGGTAAGACCGGCAGTGGCTCTCTCCTTGAAACCGACTGTTCGGCCTTCAGTCTTTGCTCGTGCGGATAAGTTGCCCATCAGTGTGTCGAACATGCCCAAGCGGGCGGTGGTGTAGACGGCCTGGCGCAGAAGACCTGCTGATAGACCAGTGTAAAGGTCAAGGAACTTTCCGCTGGCGATGATCTGTCGAGTGACAGCCAAGGGACTGGGCTTGGGGCCAGTGGCAGTTCCCTCGCCAGCGAGTTGGATGCGGACCTTGACCATATCGACAGGCTGGATGACTGTGGTGGCTACCATGCCGGCAATGCCTCCGTTGATGAAGGGGAGGGCGGCCCTCATGAGAGGTGTGTGGAGAAGGTCATTGGCAATGGCAGCTGAGTCGCCTCGAGCCTTTGAGCGAGCTGATTCAGCTGCTTGCTTAAATGTTTGGCTCATGATGGATAGGTGGAGGTGAGTTCGGTTCGAAGAGAAGTCGATCTAACAAGACTAGGTCGATTCTTGTTGTCTATGAGGAAGGGTAGGCAAATGTGTTCGAGGCTGGTCTGGTGTAAGTGCAAGTTCAGATGCAAGTCGTGGGCATGATTGGGTCTTTATAATATCATGGCTGCTTATACAGGACAGTACCAATCCCGGCCGACTACGGCTAGGACAACACCATCAGGTTACAGCCATCTTTCAGGAACCGAAGACATCCGAAAGCCAGGCCAGGCCAGTGACATAGCGCTTGAGCTTGAGCTTGGCTTGGAAATGGATGCCCGGACCTGAAGTGCCTTTGGCGTGGGGGACATTGAGTCTTGTCTTGGGGGGTCTGAAGATGGACTCGAGGGGTGTGTGCAGATGACAGGAGCCAGGCATGAACGGGGCGGGGGTAGATTCCCGCTGCTGGGGCTGCTGGGTCCCCTCCCGCGGCACAGGGCACAGTGGGCCTTCCCCGCCATGTCTCTTAGGCGTTGCAGCAGCTGGAGATGGAGCATCAACAGAATCAGAATAGAGCTTACCAAAGAACAAGCAGAAGAAAGAGTTTGATACCCGGGGGTTTGAGGATATCTTCCGCGTCTAATTGCCGTCGAGGATTAGATACAGCGACAAACAGGAAGGAAACAAGGATGATTGCCGAGGAGAGAGCTTACAATGGAGATTGAAAGACGAAACGGAAGCTCTCTAATACAGGGCGCGAAGCCACTTGTTGATGGTTGAGCAGAGGGAGTTTTCGAAAGTTTTGATATTGGGATCTCAAGGAAACAGCTTTGGGCGTCTCAACAACAATGTTCCAGCGCAGTTGAGTGCTGTAGCAGGGCAAAAAAGAGGCTTTATGATCGGCGTCACGTTCAAATGATGGAAGGAAGAGCAGCAGGATGTGGGAGGGAAGCTCAGAATTAAAGAGCAGCAGGTAAGCAAGCGACACGAGAGGATGGGCTATTGATACCTCTTTCAGATGGCCAACGAAAGAGGGGAATCTCTCCGAACGACCGAGAGAAAGGCGAAACAGATGCCATTTCTACGGATACTGCTACATCAAGAGCACGAGACCTGCTTGTGGTGTTGATCCAGCTCAGCGTTGTGAAGCCGGCGCGTCGATATCAACCACTGACGACCCTCCACCAGTGACCAGAGAGGGAAGAGAAGGGCGCCCGCCGAGCCACTCACAAAAGAACGTCACATACCAAGGTTCAGTCCGTCCAAGCTGTACAGTAGCACAGTGAACAAGGACAAGACGCGTTCAGCTTTGCAGTACAGTGTGCAGCGGGCTATCGGCTTTTGTGTAGAATGCGGGGAAGAAGGAGCGTTTTCGTCAATGATTGAAGCGGGTTAATGACATGATGATCAAGGTCCCGTAGTCTGAAAAAGCTACCAGCGCGTTGCTTAGCCAATTCAAGTGGTAATCAACGTGATGTCGTTGGTGTAACTCGGGATTGGCAACCCCTCATTCCATGTTAGCTGTAGCCAGAGATGTACAGTAAAAAGCTGTGGCATTTGGCAAAGCGGTTGAATAGCTAATTATAGAATTCTGGTGTTTGTTGAAATGTATCTCGAATTGATACATCCTGAATTGATTGTAAAGCTGCCGTGGCTGTCTGTACCTTAAGCTTTGGTCTGCTTATGCTGGCAATGAGGGGCTGGTTTACCTATCCGAAAGCAATTAAGCGTCATCTCAATGGCTGGAGTTGGAGCTGCAGCAACGCCAGGCGTGGAATATCAAGTACCTTAGCAAGTCACATGTAGCCAAGGTCTAGGCTTTCGTCTTACTTGGAGCCAGACAATGAACTTTAGCAATGACGCAACATACGGTAATAAACGGGAGCTATCTCATTGGCTGCGCAGGATGATATCAACAACATTGGATGTTGACATGACTTAATATCAGGATATCACTTTTTTATGACAGTAACATTGCAGATTGGTCCTGCTTGGTTTCGTGCTCCCTTTGATAGGTAATACTCAACAACTGAACCGTCAGTATGGCTCGCAGTGGATGTTGGTGGATACATGGAGGCCTTAACACTGCCGAACCGAACATGACTCCACTACAGCTACCGATTTGCAGCTCCACAGAGTCTATCTCGTCTCTGTCAACTGTTGACTCGATTAAACGTCTCTATACTTCAATGTAGTTGTCTTAGTAGTCCATACTCTATCAATTGCAAGCTGCGCAACAACAAAATCACAGAAAAATTGTGATATCATGACAGCCCCCAACGCCTAAACTGCTCAATGACCTGCACCTAATTCCCAGCTACCTAGTCTAAATCCCATTCCCGTCTCACCCCCGGTCGTCATCGGAAACCAAACAAGGGTCGTTTGAGACTAGGACATTGAAGTCCTGAGATGATACAAGGATATACGACTCTACGTTACAAATGAGAATATTATTCTTCACCGAGCGTCTAACGTAGTAGCTATTGTCTAATTAAAGCCGCAACACTGGTCCGTCCATATCTGATATCCTCGGTTATGAGACTCTCAACGCGTCACTTGCGATAATGCCGTGGAACATAATCCGAGGAACGTGCAACTTTGTTGAACTTGTTCAGAAATTATGCAGATGCAACAGTATTCGCTCATAGGTAACACGAGTTGACTTGGACACAAGCAATCATCTTGACATGTGAAGTGTCTCTGACGTCCATCTTTCCCAACAATAGATATCCTATCACTGCACAGCGGCCCGTTTCTTCCAGCGTAATCTGCAACATGCTGTAAACGCTCAACAACGAAATTACATCTATCAAACCACAAGGGTTCACGTTAGGCCCCGAAACTGAGCCTCAACCCAAGATACCTTGTCCTGGTGGTGTCTGTAGAGAAAGACAAGGTGTGAACCAGGAAAATTCCATCATGGCTCAGGGTATATGATGTGCGCTCTTGCAAGTCCGGCGCAGGATCCCGAGGAAGCTTGTTCCGTTCGTAAATACCGATAAGCAGACCGCTAGACCAATCTTATCACAGGGTAATACTGGACAAGCATGTGAATTGGGTTGGGGCTTCAACAAATGTCTGGTCCTTGTCTCCAACAGCGAAGGAAAAATAAAAAATAAAAAATGGAGTTGAGACATGAATCGCTTTCTCATGATGGAACGAACCCCAACCCCCAAAGACGTTCAGCCCTGTAAGATTGCCCCCAAAATCGTGATATTTTGTTTTTCGCAGTGACTGGCAAGACATGTTGCTGTCTCAAAATCTATCGTGGCTTCACCGGTATCTTGGGTTTCACATGCACATCTTCCCTGGAGTTTGGTGAGTAGTTCCTTTTGCATAGATAACAGACAGGTGGATACATGTTGAGGCATCATGGCAATGGCCGTTTAGAGTATTTGGGGGTTGAAACCAACACTCACCACAGTCTGTTACGCCATGACACGGTAAGAAACGGTTATCAACG